AAGAACGCAATGATAATACCAACATGGGCCAGTGAAGCAATGTCCTCCACAACTAGACTGAAGAACAAAAGGACAACAACTTGTCTGTTCCCCTTCCCCGATTCCCCAATAAAACCTTTAAAAAATAAATAAATAATTTCTGAAACATTTACTGCAGCGTCTGCAAATTGAGTAAGCACTCAATAAATATTATCTCTATTACTACCACCTTCAAAGTTGCCAAGATATCTTTATTAGTGATTTTGAAAGTTATTTAGTTTACTTTCTATGTTATTTTATATTTTAAATTTTCATTAAAAGCAAATGAAAAGGTTTACATTTAAGATTGAGAACTTTTCCATTTTTAATTTTTGTGTTGTCTGCTTTGGTCAGTTATCAGTGCTAAGACTTTGGTAATGAATGAAATAAGCAATAAATATTCCAAAAAAGCCTATTGAACAAAACGGATGTTTGACCAGAATATAAACAGACAATTTCATTTGATCAGGGCTAGTCTCTTTTAGCACCCAAAATAGTTGACAAGATTGAGCACAGAGCAGTGTACCTCATGAGTACCTGACAGAGGGATTTTTTTGTTTTTTTAATTGTGTTCAATCTATCTCCTTAAAGTCTTCGCTTCCTGTCAAAGCCCCAGGTCCAGAATGTAACATTAAAGCTGAGAGGATGAGGTGCTACAACTGCTGCCCCCTCCTTGTACCATTTGGGGGCTGGAGGAGGAGCAATACCAGCAGAAGTAGGGGTACAGCTCCTGGAAGAAGGGAAGAATGATGGGCAGACAGAGCAGGCCTTGTCTGAGGGCTGAGAACTCCCCCTCTCTCTGGGAGAGGACTTGAGATTTACTGCCAGTCATGCACCTTTGACCTCCCCTTTTCTGTGTTCCATTGCAAGCCTCTCCCATCTACCTTTCTTATTTATATGGCTTTGATTAGATGTCAGAATATCACCCTTTGCTTGTAGAGAAATAGAAATAAAAACACTACAATCACCACAAAATTTTTCGTACTTCCATTGCTAAAGACACGTTGTCTTGCATGTGAACCATCTGCACTGACCTTTCTCCCTGATGTCAGGTCACCCTACTTTTATCGGTTTTTATCCATTCTGTGCCTGTTTCAGATTTTGGAAGGAAACTTCTTCAGTTCTTGCAGCTTGGATGGGGGAGTGTTTTGGTAGCATGCTTCACTGATGCCTGGAGCACTCAGATCTTTCCACTTTAAGATAATTTCCTTGGGTTCTAGTCTTAGAGACTGAATTATTGGAGCAAATAATATGAACACATTTAAGACTCTTGTTATATAAGTTGGATCCAAAGGGGAAGTTCCATTTTTTATTCCTACAAAGTAATACGTGAGAATCTATACGAGATCAAACAATTCAATTGGTGAACTCATCCTAGAAAAAGTGCTCCATACCTCATTGCTGAGTATCACTATGGTCACCTTCAAAGTACTCCCCTTGGGAAGCTATGCACTGACACCAGCACCTAGTCCACCCTTCAAAGCAATTTTGGAACTCTTTTTCTGGAATGGCCATCAGAGCTGTCATTGTTATTACCCTTGATATCCTGAATGCCATCAATATGTCTTCCTTTCAATGTTTCTTTTATCTTTGGGTAAAGAAAGAAGTCATTGGGGGCCAGATCAGGTGAGTAGGGAGGGTGTTTCAATGCAGTTATTTGTTTACTGGCTAAAAATTCCCTCAGTGCAATGTGAGCTGGTGCATTGTGATGCAAGAGCCATGAATTGTTGGTGAAAAGTTCAGGTCGTTTTCGTCTAACTTTCTCATTTAGCCTTTTCAGCACTTTCAAAATAGTAAACTTTGTTAACTGTCCAGTTGGTACAAATTCACAATGAATAATCCCTCTGATATCAAAAACGGTTAGCAACATTGTTACAACATGTTCACAAACTTAATTCTCAAACCTCTTATGTCTAGTGCCTAGAAGAAAGAGAGCCTGGCAGTAGTATGTTCTCACAACGTATTTTTTGAATGAATTAACAAGTAAATGAATGAGCGAGACTACTGCCTATTTCATGGTACTCTTCTTCAGTTTGTTTTCATTAAACCTGTTTTCCAGATTTTTAATTTTGTATTGTAGCCTTCCTATATCTGACATTTAACCAGCAGCCCTCTGCTCCTGTAATTCTTTGAACTACAACCATGTTGTCTACTTTTTATGTGTTTGCTTGAGATGACTTAGAATTAATTTTCCATTGTTGCTGTAACAAGTTATCAGAAATGTAGCGGCTTAAAACAACATACATTTATTCTCTTATTATTCTGAAGGCTGTGATGTTACTGGGCTGTCATTGGTCAGTGTCAGCAGGGCTGCTGGAGACTCTAGGGGAGAAACGGTTTCCTTGCACGATTTTTAGCTTTTAGAGGTCGCCTGCATTGCTTAGCTTGTGTTCCGTGCTCTATCTTCACAGCCAACAGCAAACCATCTTCAGCTCTCCCGCTTCCTTTATCACTTCTCTTTCTCTGACTCTCCTCCCGTCACCGTCACCCCGTTTGCCTTAGAAGCAATCCTGTGATTACATTGGGCCCAACGGAATATTCCAGGGTAATCCCTCCCTTTCAAGATCCTTAACTCAATCACAACCCAGAAGTCCCTTTCTTCACTTAAGGCAACACATTCACAGGTCCTGGGATTAGTGAGATTAGGATGTGGGCATTTTTGGGGGTGGGGGCCGTTATTCTGCCCTTCACTGAATTCCTAGTAATCGCAAATTGAGACCACAGCTGCAGTAGGTAGACTGTCTTCAAGTTAAGGTCTCACATGCCTATGAGCTGGGACAGACGGATGCTCACCTCCCATGAGATATGGAAGGTGCAGATGCTGAAACTTCAGTACTTCCTCCTCCACCCTAGCAAAGCGTTTTGTTGCTTTATGATTAGTTTTCTTTTCTGTCTTTCTCTTTAGAAGGTGAATTTTTTGAGAACAGGGATCAGAACTTTAAAATTTTTGTTTCCTCAGTACCCAGCTTCTCAGGAGTACTTAATAAGCGCTATTGGAAGTGAATTTACTCATTCCTAAGGCTTGATTCCTAGCACATTACCCCAAACCAGTGCTTATATCAGGACGTGTTAAAAACGAGTCTTTTCCTTTATATGTCCTTTTGTATGCTTCTCTAGGTCAAACAACCTGTTATTTAAGCTGGGTGAGTCAGTTGTTTATTCTGTTGTAGCATATTTTCATCTGATTTTTACAATGCAGAAGACAAATTTTTAAAAAATCTCTATAAATGTGGATAAAATGCACATTACTTACTAGATTCACTTATTAAAAACAGGTGGTGGTATTTTTAGGGTAACTTCTTTTGTCCTCTTTAATATTCTAAATCTAAGCATGTGGAGCTTTACTGGACTGACTTTTATATTTGTACTTTTCTCTGGATTAGATTGAATCCAGGCAGGAATGACTCCCAATTTGCTTTCTTTTTTTAAAAACGTGTTCAATCTTTATATATTTTAACTGAATTATTTCTCCTGTATTAAATTAAGAGACCCAGAGCTACTTTTGAAATATCTGCCCAGACAATTTATCATTTTTGTTTGTTTTGAGTCAACATGTTTTTAATGAAATTTAGGGTAGGATGAGTACAAATCTTGGGATAAACTGATTTTTATGATCTGAATTGTCTAAAGGCTGATCGGGGATCTTTATCCTGGGATTCTTGGATGTCTTCTCAGAGTTGACAAATTTTCTGAAATGTGCTCTGTGTGTGTGTGTGTGTGTGTGTGTGTGTGTGTGTGTATTCCAGGGAATGTGCTTATAGCTATCATCTTAATTGAGCTTAAAGATTCTAAAAAGTCAAGAACTTCTCATGTAGCATATACATGCTAACGTGGTGACTACTGAGTTCTCTGGCATAGGGCTTGCACAATTGGGCAAATATGGACACTTGCAGGTGATGCTCGTTGTTTGGCGTGGATCCTCTAAAAGGAAAGTTCAGATTGCATGAAGGGTGATCTCCTGCTGACTTACCTCCTCCTGTCTCCTCACTGAGTCATGTCATGTGGGTCCCTGCGGCCTTTCTGTGACTCGTCTCATCCTGTCTGTGGTGCCCATTTATAGATCATGGCCACTAAAGCTGTTGTTCTGACGGCAGTGCTGAACCCTGCGTGGATCCAGGCTACTGTTCTTCGTTAACTCTGTCTGCTTTTAATTTTTGTTCCCTTTTGATATTTGGCTTTCATTGTTCATGTTCATTGTTTCTAATGGGGTGGGTTTTTGATTAGCATTCTAATCTCCCCCCACCCCCACCCCAATTTCTGGATTGGGTGATTTGATAAGTTGTTGGGATTATTGAGTGAGGGCCCGACGGAATCAACAGTGAAGAGAAGTGCTAGGGCTTTTGAAATTGAGTTCTGGAGGACTGATGGGGCTAGGTTATGATGCCTTGTAAGTGAAGGTGTATACAAGGAAACTAATTCTCTTGGAAATGTCACAGCTTCAACTGTTCTAAGTGCTCTCTGTCCTTACGACTAAAGTTTTACTCTTTATGTTTCCATTACAAAAGGTTTGGGAACACTTTCTGAAATGACTGTAATAAAACATAACAGAAAGCTTACAGTGTTAGATACTGATTTCTTGCTTACCAACTCTTATTGAGTGAATGCTTCATTTGACATGGCCGGCCCCCATTTCTCTCGTCATTAGGTTGCCCCCAACGATGAAGCTGTGGTGACGCTGTTGTGTGAATGGGCTGTGAGCTGTAAACGGTCCGGCAAGCACAGGGCCATGGCCGTGGCCAAACTCTTGGAGAAGAGGCAAGCGGAAATCGAGGCAGAGGTAGGTGCTCTTCCTTCTGCTCGCTGAGTGCCGTTATTTAAAAATACTGTTGTGGGAAGAATTCTTTCTTTCTTTCTAATGAGGATTATGCTGTTTTTTTTTTTTCTTTTGAAGGAAAAAGGAAGAATGTACAAATTTACGTAAGGACTTGATAGTAGGCTCCCTCTAATTTAATGAAGTCAATAGTTTATATACCAGACTGATTTATAATTATTTTTTAAAATAAAACTTTAATATCTAAGTAAGAACAAAGAAATCTCGCTTTGTGAGGTCAAGATACATATACACAGGAATATTCATTTTGTATTGTGTGTGTGTGTGTGTGTGTATATCTATCTATCTATCTCTATATATAGATATAGATATATAAAATTTTAAAGCCACATAACATTTTCGTGGAACTGGAAATACTTTCTTGAGGCAGTAGTGACTATGAGATTACAGATACCAATTTGTATTAAAATTTTTTTTTTTCTTTGAAGATTGTGTTCTGGCCCCTGAAAAAGAAATTAAAGCCTCGGAAGTAGATTATAAAGGAAAAAAACAAAGCTGATTTCATTAACATTAGCTTTTGTTGAAGGGAAAATTTTTAAGTGAGCCTGTGAGATGTAGCAGGGACCACTCCGGAGAAGGTGTGTGGGTGACCTGACCAGACCCCGTCATCTCTCACCGGGATATGCGGGACCTCCTTCTTGGTCCCTCCTCTCTCTCTTGTTCCCCACCATCTCATACATAGCAGCCAGAGCCATCTTTTCAAAATGGAAACTAACCACACTGTCCTCTTACTAAAGCTTCATGATGATTCCTTACATGGTCCACAGAGCATCCCATGAGCCACCCTGCCTTCCTTTCCACTCCGTCGCCTGCCTTTCTTCTCACACAGACACACACAGCTGCAGCCACGTGGTCTTCCTGTCCCTCCATCACGCCAGACTCGCTTTTATCTTGGGGTCTTTTTTGTTCCTTCTGGTTGCACCCTTTGCTCCCCAGTCTTTATGTGGCCAGTTTCTTTCTACCATTCCTATTTCCTAAAGTGTCACTTTCTTTGTAGCATTCGTAGCTCTGCATGTGTCACCTCCTCAGGGAGATCTGCCATCACCACCTTATCTACAGTCAGTGGTACCCACCCTCAGCCACTCTTTCTCACATCGCTCTGTTTCATTTCCCTTACTCCTTACTGGCTTATTGTTCAGTGCCCGCCCACCCCCTTCTAGCATGTAAGCTTGACATCAGGGACTGTGCCCACCTTGTTTAGAGTATGTCCTTGGCACAGTGGGTGCTCAGAAAGTCTGTTGTATGAATGGAGGAGCACTCTGCTGGTCCTCTATTACTGATAATTCACCCACTTCCTGTGAAGTTGTTAAACAATGAAATTGGAAGAATATTTTCATAAACATATTTTCTGTTGGGAAAGTGCACTGTTCACCAAATATAAAAGATCACATGTTGTTGAAATTGGGGATTGAAGATATTGATGTTAAGGTGTAAAACAGTGCATGTTTTACATGTGCAAATTAGGAAAAGTGCTTCATTGCATTTTTTTCTATACATTTATGAATAGAGAGACTATTCTATAGTGAATAGCAATGATCAAACTTTTAGTAACTAAAGCTGAATTTCTCAAATTTCATTGTTCATTCTAGATTGTTGTTGCCATCATTCCGTCCTTCCCCCCCACGTCCCAGAACACACACCACACACACACACACACACACACACACACACACACACACACACACACACACTGATCACTTTCAGAAGAGGTTCACCCATAGATTACTTTGTAATTTTAATAGATATAAATGTATCCATATCTAAAATTGTGTTCTCTCAGAGCTGTTTAAGATAACTAATTTCTAATAAACATCAGCATTTTCAAAACTTGGCCTTTGTAAAGAGAGGATGTATTGGAAAAAAATAATACCTTAATATAATTATTAATATCTTAATAATAAAGAAAAGCTAATGGGAGGGGCCGGCCGAGTGGCTCAGTTGGTTAAGAGCATGAGCTCTGAGCAATAGGGTCGCTGCTGGTCGATTCCCACATGGGCCAGTGAACTGTGCCCCAGCTGGGCTGCCGCTGAGCTGCCAACAGGTGGGCAGGATGGCTCAGCTGGTAAGAGCACGTGTTTCTAATAACAAGGTTGCCAGTTTGACTTCTGCATGGGATGGTGGGCTATGCCCACCCACAACTAAGATTGAACCTGGCAACTTGAGCTGAGCTGCCCTGAGCTGCTGACCGGCAGCCGGATGGCGACTGGACTTGGAGCTGAGCTAGCTGCGCCCTCCACAACTAAGATTGAAGGACAACAACTTGGCTGTTCCCCTTCTCCAATTCCCCAACAGCGTTCCTCTTCCCCAATTCCCCAATAAAATCTTAAAAAAAAAAGAAAAAAGGATAATGGGAAGGATCAAAGGGATATCGAAAAGACTAGGAAAGAAGGACCTGATCGCTTCTAAACTGTTTCTTTTCTGGTCTTCTAGTAAGTTCTGTCTTCAGAATGCAGGAGTTAAACAGGTTCTCTAGATGTGTCTCATGAACTGTGGAGAGGTTCTGAACTGAAACAGGTCCTGAGAGGTCTTGCTGGTGAAGTATGATGCAATAAATGAAAGACTCTTATTGGAGGAATTACGTTAGCTTTCTCCTCTGACACCACGCTTCCCCAAACACACTCGGAAACTGACAAAAACAAACACAGAAGAATCAAACTCAATAGTGTATGTTCAGATATTTCTTAGGGGGAATACAGTTAAACATGAGTTATTTAAAAAGTGAAGACAACCTCAAATTATTTTTAGCAATTTGCATGGGGATGATGAGTTTATTTTGTGCTGTGCTGTGTATTCAATGGATACTCATACAGTGCTGTGCAGAATTTATAATTCACATGAATAATATTTTTTAGGGTTCTTTAAAATCATTTGAATTGTTTCGGGGTAGTTTCCCCAACTTTTAGGAATTACGTTGATCTGTGATGCATGGCTCACAAATACAAACAGAAATCTCAATTAATTTTACATGTTTTATCTGAGAACTTAACTGTTAGTAAAAAGCTAACAAATTCACGACCCACTGTGACTCTGCATGTCCTCTGTAATTAACTGTGCTTGTTTATTTTTAATCATAGAGATGTGGTGAATCAGAGGTCTTAGATGAGAAGGAGTCCATTTCTTCAGCCTCTCTCGCTGGATCGAGTTTGCCTGTTTTCCAAAATGTTCTGCTAAGGTTTTTAGATACCCAGGCCCCCTCACTGTGTAAGTAATGCTCTTTGCTTTTAGATCTTAAATAAGGGATTGACCTTTTTTTTGAGCTAATTCATCTCCCATTTGCATCTTATCAAAAGTACTTGATGTATATTTTACTGAGCAAAATTCTGTGGCATGTTTTCAATGGAGATTTTATGCAATGTTAAAATCAGATGAGCTTCAGAGACTAACATTTCCAGAGTTTTAATAATTCAAAAAATAAATCACCCCCTTCCCTTATATTCAGTGCACTAATTTTTTTTTCTCTAGATTTTTCTTACCGAAGTAGAGGAGCTAAGTTCCTGTGATGTTTCACTGTATATTGTGATTTGGAATTGTCTTTTCAAACCATTTTCTAAATTTCTGATTTTCTAACTCCTGATCTTAAAAGGGGAGTGGAGAACAGGGGTCAAACAATAGTACTTTGTAACCTGATCTTTGATATAAAGAAAAAATTTTTGTAAGATGGTTCGCTGCTTGCCCACACTCCCTTGGATGTTCATGTCATCTTAAGTTCTTGTTCTGTCTTTTATTCTGTAGTTGGTGGAGAGTTGAAGTTTTAGGGAATAAACCACCACCCAGTGGATAGACACTTTTAAAAATCATTTGTGTGAGCTCAGTGAGCTTGATCTTATTTTGAGTCATATGACAAAGTACAGCAGGGAGGGTCTTAGGACAGACAGTGGTGGAACAACAGAAAAAAGGCAAAAGGTGAAAAGTGATATAAAAGGAAGACAGGGAATGGAGGGGAGGGAAAGATGTTTGTGGAGAAGAAAAAGGGAAAGCAGCAAGGAATAGCACTGCTTCCAAATTCCTCTGAGTCGGGCCTCCTTTTGGGTTGAGTTACAACTGGGGTGAGGGTCTCAGAGTTAGTTGGTGGCAGGTTTAGGCTAGAGAAAGAACAAGAGCTGGAGTCAAGTGGGTGGTTGGACTGGAGGGAACAGTAGTGAAGCAGGAAAATAAAAAGACAGAAGAGATACCGAATACAAGAAAATATATTGTCAGCAATGGACATGAGCAGCTCTGACTTATCCTGTGTCCTGGGAGAGATATACAGAGGGTGCCAAAAAAATGTATACACATTTAAAGAAAGGAAACCTGTATTAAAATTGTAATACTCAATATATACTGATAACACAAGATGAATACTAGTCACGTTTGACTTCTGCAATTACAAGAGGTGCTCAAAGTGGTTACCATCAGCGTCCAGACACTTCTGATTATGGCGAACTACTGTTTGAGCAACATTGACCAAAGTGTCCACTTGTATACGTTTTTTGGCCCCCGCGGGTACATACATTTGCCCTTTTCTTTCCTCATCCTGCCCCCTCCTGTTTTTTCTTTGGGAAGAATTTCCTTCTTCTATGCCTTTGATTTTTCTGGATCCCACTTTGTTCTGGATCCCATCTTCTGTTGGAGAAAGCCTCCCATACCTCTGTGTAGAGGTTGCTGTCAGTGAATTTGGTGGTGGGTGAGAACAAACATTTAAGCTTAAGGTCTAAGGAACTGAGCTTAATGTTCCCTGGATCCGTCTGTCTTGGTGATTGTGAGTGGGTACCAGGTACTGAGCTTTGCAGGTTTTGTCTTAATGTTTTTTAACCTTCTTTCAAAGGTAACAGATACAAGTTTTAGAGTGAAGTTACAATATCAAAAGTCATAATGTGAGTTAAATAGACTGGCCATAAATTAAAAGACTGCAGACGAGCTCCTTTATGTGCCCTTTTAATTGCAGTTTCCCTTTTTTTTTTTCAGTAAATCGCAGTCACTAATTTTTTCAAATAGCATTTTAATTATAGTTCTCTTGTGAAGTCTCCTTTGAGGCAGTGCACGCACATACCCCACTAATACACAGACACACTCAAGCTATAAGAAACAGTCATGAGCAGTGTTAATAGTAAAACCAGAGGACTGCAATCTAACCCTGCTTTAAAAAAAAACAAAACGTGACATTTTCTTTATGTTATTTAATAAATGGTTGTTCATTCCCCAGGGACCACTGTCTTTAAACTTGAAATTGTGCTTAGCATACTGGATAGCATTTTTTAATTACAATGGGATAGTCAAAATCTATGTGCCATTTCTGCACAACACAATAGCATTGCATAGTAAATTTTCCAATAATCTTTTATTTTGTAACAAACAAAAAAAATTATGAAAGATGTTGAAAATATTGTTAAGCCTTAATAAATAGTTGTTTTTTCTAGCAGGTCCACAGGGACTGAGTTCTTGGTTGAATCATTTCTTTTTTTTTTTTTAATTATTTTTTGTGAAATACACATTTTTTAGAATTAGTTTCAGCTGTACAACACAGTGCAATAGTTATACTTTTTACCCCTCGAAGTGACAAACCCCCTCCCCCAATCCACCGCCCCACTTCCCCGCCCCCAATATCATACATATCTATTACAATTCGCTTCACTCCCACACTATACTCCGCGTCCCATGACCATATATATATATTGACTTATAGTTGACATACAATATTATACAACATCAGCTTCAGGTGGACAGTGCAGTGACCAAGCCTCTACTCCATCCATGATGTGGTCTCCCTAGCAAGTACGTGACCATCTGACACCCTACAAAATATTTACAACGTTATTAATTATATTCCTCAAACTGTCTTTCATATCCCTGTGGCAATATTGTAGTTACATATTTATGCTGTCTAATCCCTTCCCCTTCTCCCTCATCCCCACCCCCTCCCAACTAGCAAACATCAGTGTCCCTCTATATCTCTGAGACCACTTCTGTTTACTTTGCTCGTTCATTCAGTTTTTTAGATTCCAC